AAAAAAAAAAAAAAAGAAGAGAAGAGATTGGGGGCTGGCAGGTGGCGTGGTTGTTGGGGCGCTGGACTCCCACATGGCTGACAATGGTCCAAGTCCTGGACCTGGTGGCTTGCTTTCTTACTTTCCCTCTCTCTCTCTCTCTGGTGAAATTAATTAATAAGTTAAATTAATAATTCTTTTTAAAAAATTATTTTATTTTAACTTTATTATTATTTCCAACGTGGCCAGAGAGACAGAGAGAAGAAAAGTAAAAGTACCAGGTCCAGGACATGAACCATGGTTGGCCATGTGAGAGTCTAGCACCTTTAACCACCATGCCACTTGCCAGCCCCTGAATTAATAATTTGAAGGAAAAAAAGAAGAGATTAGCACATAGCTGCACGCACAGGATAACCAAGAAGCCTCAGAAAGAACCAGCCCGGCTGACACCTCGACCTTGGACTTTCAGAGATTTATTAAAAGACAACAAACTGCTAAATTACCAGTCTGTGTGATTCTGTTATAGCAATCCCAGCAAACTAACAGAATGACAAAATATTCTGGGAGCTTCTGACAGAAAGGAAGGAGCAGGTCAAAGCCTAAGAAATCTCTTAGAAGAGGTGAAATCTAACCCAACAAGCTCCCAAACGCCAGGCCAATCTGGAGGAAGGTCCCTATCCCCCTGCAAGGTGGCTGGATAGGATGGCACTGGATGGGACAGAGAGTAAGCAGAAACCCAACCCCAACAGCCCTGAACAGCAAGGGCATCGCCAAGCTCAGGGGACATGAAGTCTGTAAGCAATGAGGCTCAAGAAGTGGTTAGTTCAGCACCTGATGATGGAGTCAAGCACTCAGGCTTTCAGGCTCTCTGCTCTGCCAGGCTCGGGTGTGGCTTTGTCCCTAGCCAGGCTGCAAGGTGCATAGAATAATAGTTCAGGGGTCAAATCCAAACGGCCCAAACAGCACCTCTCTTAGGAATGATGTCACCTTTCTCAGAAGTCCCCAGAAGCCGTCCACTGACATCTCATTAGGCAGGAGAGGAAACTCTCATTTCTGACCCAATGGCTAATGGCACCCCAAGTGGATGGAAGTGACAGTTAAAGCAGGCTGTCTGTATTATGACCCAGGTCTGTCTGGGACAACCAAGGATTTCTGGAAGCTGGGTTGAGAAGGGGCCCCTCCAGAAGGTGCCCAGTAGGCATGGGTCAAGCCCAGTGTCTGGGAATCTTGAAGATGAACGAGACAGCTGTGGTTCCATGTGATGGAAGGGGACAAGCAAGGGGCAGCCTGCTGCTCAGATACCCAGCATGAGAGAGGGAGAGGCTAGAGAAGAGAGAAAAGAGTGAGGGCAACCAGGGGATGGGAATTAGTAATAGCTGCTGAAAGGGGGCTGGGCCATGGTCTGTAAGATCTGACCATTTCCTGACATGATGGGACCCAGTCTCTCACAACTGCCTACCCTGTGTTAGTGAGACCCGTGGGCAGGAATGGAACCACAAGTGGCTCGGTGTGTACTTGGTGCATGCTTTCCTTTGTACCTGGATCTCACAGAACTAGGAGCATGGCATGAATTGGCTGGATTTTGTGTTATAAATAGTCCCAGACGGCCTTTTGCTTTAAAATATGCTATTTATTTTTTTTCCAATTATAAAAAAAATACATTATCAAAACATGTAGCGTAGAAAACACAAAAGTCCACCAAGGAAAACAAGAGTGGCCCCTCTAAGCACCACCTGCAGAAAACCACTGCTGGTCTTTTTGGCTCTCAGGACCAGCTCTGCTGATCAGGCTGGGCCCCATGTAGGCCTCCCTGGGCCTGATGGAATCAAGGCTGCAAATGAAGAGCACACACAGAAACCCACACTTCTCATGGCTGGAGAGGAGGCCTCAGTGTACCCCTCTGAACCAACAGCACTGTGTCCTTCCGTCACACACCTGCAAGGTCAACTTCAACTGGCTGGAAGGGATGGTGCCTGCTGCCATGGCTCCCACAGTGCACTAGCTGGGACTCACGACCATCAGCTGAGGCAGTGCAGCACTTTACGAGGGGGCTATGGATCTTGAAAACTGGGGTGAATCCATGGTGACCCCTTAAGAATCTCACTCACTGCTTTCAGATGTGCTCTCTGGAACAGAAGTGATAGGGAGGGCAAGTGCTCAGGAACTACAGGGGACCCCGGGGACATCCCCGAGAAGGTAGGTTAACACATGCTGTCACGTTTGTCCCCTGAACTCATGCAAGACCAACAGTACAGTCCACTGCCCTAATATGTACCTGATGCATATACGTGATGCCTTTTAAACACCACCAGGAGACAAGGGGCTTGTAGTGTCCCAGACCAAAGGCCGTGAAAGTTGTACACATGTAACAGCAAGCTAACACCACCCAGTCTTTGGCCCAACACATCTTCTCCTTTCACCATTTTGCAACGTCTGACAGCTCCTCCCCACTCAGGGACAGTGTGCAGAGCATGTTCGGGCTCCCTCTGGATCAGGCTGGCTTTTCTTGCTCTCGGCCAGGTGTCCAGACACGCGGGCCCTGAGCTTCCACAGAGGTCCGTGAGGCACAGCAGGAGCCTGTGCAATCCAGAACTGAGGGCTGGGACTCCTCTGGGGAAGGCAGCATGTTGCGGTGGAGAGACGAGTCCTGAGCTCTTGGCCATGCTCCTTACCCGCCCCGCACCAGCCCAGCCACTCTCTACAGATTTGTTTCCCCATCTGCAAAACAACCATAGTACCTACCTCCCAGGAACTGAAGGGAATAAAAAAAGGGGAACACACAGAACAAATGTCCTCCCCGTGACTTCCCATTAACCGATTTTACAAAAACCCCGTCCACATCTTATAAGTTTTTAAAAACTGTTCCTCTGAGCGCCAAGTCCAGACTTGGGAAGTATTCCTATCCAGTGGCCATCTCATCTAGAACCAGCCAGGCCTGCCCTGCTGGAGAGGCCCAGCAAAGCCCAGAGACCCCAAAGTAGCAGTGAGCGCCTCGGACGGGCTCTGCCAGGGGCTCATTCAGACTGCGGAGCAGACAGGGCCAACAAAGGGCGGGCTTGTGTGCAGAGGCCCCGCGGGAGGCACCCAGGCGACACAAGCAGAAAACTCGGGGGAAGGAAGCCCTTTCACTGGCCAAACTGGAACCCTCCTTACAGAACAATGAATAACCCATCATTGTTTTGCCTTTAATCACATTTTTAAACACTTAACATACGGACATCTGTTCCTTGATGTTTCGTCTTTGTTCGTCTGTCATCCTCAGAATGAAAGTCCAGAACCTTCTGCACTAATTTTAAAGTCCGGCTGAACGTTGAGTAATGAACAAAGCTGGAAACACAAAAGAAAAAAGATGGCATATTTTTAATTTGTGCATTTGCCCTCACAAGTCAGAACTGAACTCCATGTCTAGCTGAGGCATTTCTCATCTCTATCACCGACTCCTAAATGAGTGTAACACCTGTTCTCTACACTGTCAGAGCTTCCCTGCTCTGAGACACAAAAACGATCTGCCTTGGTTGGCTATTCGTGTGGCACACGCAGTCCTGAGGCCGTTAACAAAGCGAACCCTAGGGAAGGCGCCAGCCACGTCTTAGGAAGGCACAGAGCCAGACTCTCCTGGCAAAAAGAAACAGACGGTGAACAAACCTGCTTAAATTTTCCTCTAATTTTGTCTAAGTCTTCGTGGAGTTTATCGTAAGTAGGGTCATCGTAAGGGAATTTCTGAATCATTCCGATCAGTGATTCTAAGACCTTCATCTTTTTGCTGTAAAGCACAGAAATAAAAACTTTTAGTCCTTTGTACACAACAGGCTAACTCATGTAATAACTATGCCGATGACGTAAAGGCGACAGGCGTGCTAAGAATGTTTCGGTTTAGAAGCTGGATGATTAGTTTTCTCATTATACTGAATATTTATTTACCTAGCAACGAGCTTCTACTCACACCCAGCACCACAACAGCAAGTGCGTATTCAGCTCATGGATGTGCCTCCGTCCCAGCCATGGAGCCGGGTGACCGAGCCACCTGCAACGTGCATGTGAGTCTGGCTCTCGGGGTCTGATACAGGAAACAGAGCAAGGAAGAGAGGGACTGAGGCCACCAAAAGCCTGTCCTAGAGCGATGTGAGGACTTTCCAAGATTTTAAAACCATATGTTCAGGGCCTTTGGGAATTCAACTGCCTCAAAAGGGCAGAAATCGGTCTCTGGGTCTGAGCTCAATCCCCGTTCCAAGATGGAGGTCTTCACTGGGGGGAGCTAGGAGACTCTGCAGAAAGGAACCTGCTCAGGAGATGGGTAGCCTGGAGTGTGCTCACTCCAAGATGATCGATTATTTAACTTCTGTGAACCTCGGTGTCCTCATTCATAAAATGAGAGTAACAGTAACTCTACAGGATTTTAAGTTTTTGCTATAGGGCACATGTAATTGACAAAGAGAGACCAAAGGAAAGTTAAGAAATTGACCCCAGGGGAATGGCCACATCAATCCCTTCTCCACCCTCCTCCCAAGATCTGGGACATGCAAGCAAAAGTGCCTGGGGGTGATTTTCAAGCCATCAGGTCCAGCACTTAAACCATGAGGATGACCATGTGAGATCTAGCGCCTTAACCTCCATGCCACCTGCTGGCCCTCACAGGCTTTTTTCTTTTCTTTTTTTGGGGGAGAGGTTTTTGTTATACGGCACGTGCACTCGCCAGAAAGACAGAGAGAGACAGAGAGACAGAAAGCAAGAAATCACCCCCCAGGGGGATGGCCACGCCACAATTCGTTCTCCATTCTCCTCTCAGGATCTTGGGCATGCACGCACATGCGCCCAGCGTGTGTTTAAGCCGCCAGGTCTGGGACTTGAACTGCGGTCGACTACATGGGAGTCCAGTGACATAGCCATTATGCTAACTGCTGGTCCCCCTCACAGGCTTTAAAGAGGATTAAATAATCTATGTGAAGTCTGGAAACTAGTACAGAATAGGTGCTCAATAAATGTTAGTCTTCTCGGGGCTGGCAGGTGGTACAGTGGTTAAGGTGCTGAACTCTCACATGACTGACCATGGTTCTGGCCCTGGACCTGGTGGCTTGCTTTCTCACTTTCTCTCTCTCTGGCCAAATTACAAAATAATAGTAATAAATAAAATTAAATTAAATCTTTTTTTTAAAAAAGTTAGTCTTTTTTTTTTTTGCTTTTCTTGGAGAGGTTTTTGCTTTAGGGCCCGTGCTGTAGACAGACAGAGAGAGACAGAGAGATAGAAAGCGAGAAATAACACACACACACACACACACACACACACACACACAAACACACACACACCCAGTGGGGATGGCCACGCCACAATCCCTTTTCCTCCATTCTCCTCTTGGGATCTTGAGCACGCATGCACGCACGCACACGTGCCCGGTGTGAGCTTAAGCCACGGGGTCTGGGACTCGAACCACGATCGACTACATTGGAGTTCAGTGACATAGCCATTATGCTAACTGCTGGTCCCAATGTTAGTCTTCTTAATCCTGGAGACCAGGGCTCTCATCTGTGAAGGTTTAAAAATAATCCACACTGGGACCAGCAGATGGCGTAATGGTTACATTGCTAGACTCCCACGTAGTTTACTGTGGTTCATGTCACAGACCTGGTAGCTTAAAACCCACGCCAGGTGCATGTGTATGTGACCCCGAAACCCTGAGAAGAGAGTGGAGAACGGACTGCAGCATGGCCAGCCCCCTTTCTCACTTTCTGTCTCTCTGTCTCTCCAACAAGCACATGTACCCTATAGCAAAAACTTCTCAAATAAATAAATAAAATAATCCATACTTATACACATCTAGGTGGTACCAAGGCCTTTTATGTTTTTTTTTAAAAGAACGATTTACTTATTTATTTAATTTATTATTCTTACTATTTTCACATGAGTTTTGCCAGAGAAAGACAGAGAAAGCGAGCCGCCAGGTCTGGGACTCTAACCGCAGTTAGCCATGTGGAAATTCTAGTGCCTTAACCACGCCACTTGCTGGCCCTCTGATTAACAGAAATTTTAAAGAACTGATCCTTAGAATGAATCCATAGCAATCCAAAGCAACCCCAATCTCCTGTGTACATGCTAACAGCTGTCACTTTCAGACACACACAGATGAGTAAGTTCAACAATGGCAAACCAGTGTTCAAGCACTACGATGGGCCAGCCAACGGGGCACAGCAATAACACAACGTCCCTTCATCTCTCAGAAGAAATTAAATAAATAAATACATACATACATACATAAATAAATAAATAACAAACCTTAAAAAAAAAAAAGAGAGGGCCAGCAGGTGGCGTGGTGGTTGAGGCAGCTGGACCCCACATGGCTGACCCCGCGACTCCGCGGTTCAAGTCCCAGACCCAAGAGTTTTGAAAATTACACTGGGCACATGTGCGTGCACAAAATTCCAAGAGGAGAATGGAAGAAAAGGAATTATGGTGTGACCATTCCACCAGGGAGTGATTCTCACTTTCCCTCCCATTGTCTCTGTGTCTGTTTCCAACTAGTGCCTGTGCCCTATGGCAAAACAAAAACAAACCAACCAACCAACAAACAAAAAAACTCCACTGAAAATGCCATCTTTTAGTCTGAACTATTGCTCTATGTGTTTCTCTGGTGTTGGAATACCCATTCTTTTTTTATAAAAAGAATTTTTTTTTATTATTTGATTGAGCTTTATTTTTTGTTTGTTTATTTTATTTTGACCAGAGAGGGACAGAGAGAGAGAGAAGGGGGAAGTGAGAAAGCAAGCCACAAGATCTAGGACTTAGGGCCAGCAGGTGGCATGGTGATTAAGGGCACTGGACTCCCACATGGCCAACCATGGTTCAAGTCCTGGACCTGGTGGCTTGCTTTCTCACTTTCCTCTCTCTCTTGCTCTCGCTCTGCCCCTCTCTGTCAAATTAAAATAAAATAAATTACGTTAAATAAAATAATTCTTAAAAAAAATAAAGAAATGCCCATTCTTTTGCTATAGGACAATGCAGACAGCAAGAGGTTTTCTTTTAACACTCTTTGGAAAAATACAAAAAAGTAGATGATCCTCTATCAGCCCTTTACCATTTCAAAAAAAAAAAAACCACACTGACTTTTTAAATCCAAACACCTGTAGAGAAGATGTCTTCACATTTCAAAGAGCCTTCAAGGCAATGCTGGGTTGGGGTGGGCCTCAGCAGCAAGGAAAGCTTAACGAGACCTCTAGAGCCTTTTTCAACCAAAGCGGTCCCTACTTCATCTATTCAGACTGGATATGCTGCCTTAAGAGTTGGAACCAGCAGATGGCGTAACGTTTGCGTCCATTGTTGGACTCCCTTGTAGCTGACCATGGTTCTAGTCTCGGACCTGGCAGCCTGAAACTCACACTGGGCATGTGTGCATGCAAGCCCAAGATCCCAAGAGGTGAATGGAAAAAGGATTACAGCATTGACCATTTCCCCTGGGGGTGATTTCTTGCTTTCTGCCTCTCTGTTTCTCTCTGTCTCTCCAGCAAGCGCATATACCCTATACCAAAAAAACCCTCTCTCTTTTTAAAAAAGAATTACTTAATTTTATTTATTCGTTCATTCATTTTAATTTGACCAGAGAGAGAGGAAAAGTGAGAAAGCAAGTCATCAGATCTGGGACTCGAACTCTGGTCAGCCATGTGGGAGTGTCCAGTGCCTTAAGCACCCACACCACCTGCTGGCCCCCCCAAAATTTCTCCTTAAAAAAAAAAAAAAAAGAGACAATCCTGGGCTAGAATGTAGCATGGTGCTAAGGTGCTGGATCCCGCATGGCCAACTCTGTAGTTTGCATCCTGGACCTGGTGGCTTGGAAAACACTCTGGGCACGTGTGCACGGGGGATAATTTCTCACTTTCTCTCTCTCTCTGTCTCCAGTGAATGCATGCACCCTATGGCAAAAATCAAAAGGAAAATACATACATACATACATACATACATGCAAGAAAAATACAGATAACACTCAGATGGTGGGAGCGAAGGGGAGTCTGATGGAGAACTCCAAAAGCCTCTTCCTCCTCTGTGGATGGGAGTCAGCTGAGAGCCAAACTCAGCTTTGACTGCCACCCGGTGGTAGCACAGGCTGTCAACACTATTCTAACCAGTCCTCAGCTGCCACTGCACTCCCCAGGGACCTCAGAGGGAAACCCAAGGTGCCCTTCTGCTAACGTAAGATGGGAACAAATACGCAAACAGACAAGTCAGAGAGCAAGCAGGCAATCCTTGCAACCCACACTCAGTTGCAAGCATCCTTATTCTTGCATTTACATATGGAATGGCCCATGTTCCAGAAAAGTAAAATAGCTCCCCCCAAAATGACAAATTACATGGATGGGTGCCATCTCTCCTGCTCGAGTTGTTACCCACTCTCCTCATGCCCTCCCGTGCTGGGCAAAGTCACCAGACGTCACAACGATGCAAAGCACCAGCCTACGTCTTGTTTTCTGACTCTCATGCTGTAGCGGAATGGCCAGATCACACAGGCTTTTTACTTCAGGGTTTGTTTCTGGCTTAAGAATGAAGACAGATGAGACAGGGTCACTGGGGGCTTCAGAGGTTGGACATAGTAAGAATACATTCATTTGAGGGCTGGCCAGTGGCATAGTGGTTAAGGGCACTGGACTCCCAAATGGCCGACCGCAGTTCAAATCCCAGATCTGGCGGCTTGCTTTCTCACTTTCCTTTCCTCTCTCGCTCTTTGATCCTCACTGGTCAAATTAAAATAAAATAAAGTTAAATAAAATAATTCCTTTAAA